GTTGACCCCGTCTCGGTCTCCTCGGTCCGATCCGGATGCCGCGAACGCCGTCCGCGGCAGCACGAGCCTGTCACGCCGATCACGAACATTATGCCCACGGACATGTACCGCGGCTCCAGTACCCCCGATTTGTGGATCCCCACTAGCTGCTCGCATTCCCCCCTGAAGCCATCCACCGTCTCCACCGTCTCCTTGGCGCTGTTGTACACCCACTTCGTCCACTCCACCGCGTTGAAGTAGGCGCAAGCACTCCACGACACGAAGGCCGATCCCGCGAAGCCTCCCAAGCTCCGTCGGGCCCAGACGTAGCCCACGACGTTGCTCGCTACCTTCGTCAGCCACGTCACGAGGTGACGACGATGGGTCTTCTTGCCCGTCAAGTTCTTCCGACTGAAGTCGCGGGTGATCGTAGCTGTCGTCGTCATGCTTCCCGATGTTCTCATTCGATCCGCCGCCTCCACCGCCATAGCCTTCTCGCGAGCTGACATGCCCCGGAAAACTCCGTGGTCCACGCCCGCGAACTTGGTGGACCGAACCATCGCCTTCACTGCCAGGTCGATGACCTGGAGCCTTCCCGTCGGGCCGATCGCCACCCAGCGGCACTCGCCTGACGTCGTCGTGAACCTCGTCACCAGCAACATGATGAGGCCCTTCTTGTCGTCGAACCTCGGTCGGTAGTACACTCTGCTCAATCGCTGCAGTGGCATCGGCGAGGAGACCTCCGTCTCCTGCTCGCTCGAGGGCTCCTCGCACTCCGCCTCTTTAGCGTCCTCGACGCTTTGCTCGTCCCAATATTAGGCTGAGAACTCCTGGGCAACGTAGTCCACCCAGTTCTCCAAGGCCTCCTCGCGCACCGGCGAGGTCCCCAGCACGCACGTGGCGAACCACGAGAGCTTTGTGGTTGGAGTGGCCGCCCGCTGGGGCGGCGCGCGGCATTCCCATGCGGAAGCTTTCATTTTTAGCATATGCGCCTCTTGAGCTATCACAGCGTCCACGACGGCTCAAGAGGCCCCGAAGAAGGCTCCAAAACGGCCCAAGAGAACACTAAGACGGGCCAAGAAACCCTCTAGACGGCCCCAAAGGGCCCTGGGGCGCCCTCAGCTGGGGGGCCCGAGGGGAATCCGAACGTACATTTCGAGCCTTCGGCTCCACGACGCCTCCAGATTGCTCTATGAAGCCCCCAAGAAGCCCCGAGAGGCCCCGAGGGAGCCCCGAGAGCCCCAGACGGCCGCACACGCTTCCCGGGAGTCTCCAGAGGCCCGACAACTGCTCCAAGACGCCGCCGAAGGCCCCCCGCGAGACCCCATCACCTATCCGAATGGCCTCAGACCCCAACCCCAATCACGGTGGCGGGAGGGGCCGAAGGCCATTCCATAGACATTCCTGTCTAGTATTTTGACAGATGTCCGCCGTCTGTGACCTTGGGTTTCCCCCCGGTTCCCCATGCGTGCACGGCGAACGCTAACCTTGTTAGCCGAAGAAAACAATGACCCCAAGAAGCATCCACCAGGACTATGACACTGCCCCCCCTAGTCCACCGATAACGTTCTCACGAGACCACAGCACGAAGTCCAGATCGTCACTTGTCCTTCTCCTCGTCTTGCTCCTCCCCCTCCTCCTCCTCCTCCTCCTTCCCCTCCTCCTCTTCCCCCTCCTCCCTCCACCCCCTCCCCCTCCTCCTCCTCCTGTTCTTCCTCCTCCTCCTCCTCCTCCTCCTCCTCCTCCTTCTCCCTCCTCCTGCTCATCCTTGTCCTCCCCCTCCTCCTTCTCAGCTATCTCCCTGTCATCGGCTTCGTCTTCCTTCTCGCTCGCTCCCTATCCTAGTCCTACTTCGGGGGTCTCCTAGGCGTGTGAGAGTGCTCTCCCCATCCCCCCCAGAAAGCCCCCCCCACCCCCCCCTCATGGGGGGATAAGAAAGCTCCCCGACGACCACCCAAGAGGGCCCCAAGACGCACCCAAGACGCTCCAAGAAGGCCCCGAGTCGCTGAAAGATCGCTCTAAGATGCCCAAGACAGCCTCCAGACGGCCCAATATGCCCTCATTACACACCAAGGATCCACCCTCTCGCTCTCATCAACATCACAATCACCCAGGACGCCCACCAAAATCATAGGAGACAATCTACACTTAGGAGGGTCAGTGTGGTGTAAGCCTGTAGATCATCTCTGGCTGGATGTTCACCCAAGAAAGCAAACCCGAGGAGAGAGCCAAGGACTTGAGGTGGGCCCATGCCCAAGAGGGCGGAACTCTCACGAAAAACCTACGGAGCGCGCTCCACCGCTTGCTGATCAGATCGTCAGGGGGCCTGGGGAGATAGGGGAATCAAGAGTCAATCCGACGACTGACTAGGGAGGGCCTGAAGTCAGGAAGCACGGAGATCCGACGCGACCAAGCGAACACTCGATGTTGGCCGCGGCGGCCGTCAACCGCGGCAATACGAGGCTCCGCATTGGCCGCCGTAGCGCTCTCTTGCCAATCACGGGGTGAGCGGTCGGAGGAAAGAGAGGCAACGTACTCTGCAGTGCTAACCCTGTTCTTCCACACGCATGGGAGTATATGCCGACGGCGCCCTTAAGAGGCCCATACATCCTAAGATATTGTTGTAGCTGTGTGAGTGCGGCCATCCGCCCGCCCCCCCCCGCCCCCAGAATATGGTGCGCTGTCCGCTCAGCTTCCGCAGCGGCGGTTGTGTGGAGCAGGGAAGGGGTGGCGGAGGGAAGCCGTGATCCGATGCCCAGAAGCTCAGGTAAAGAGACGAAGTTGAGAAGGAGACGCAGGTGGTGTGGAGGATGTGGCGCGCAGCAGAGAGAACAGCAGCGGGGAGAGGGAAGACTTAGGAAACATAGTGGCACACCGACAGTATCCCCAAGCCAGTCTCTGCGGGAGCCCTGGTAAGGGACGTTGCTTGGATCCTTGTCTTCCATTTTAGCGTCGCCGCCGTTCCACTGGCCATCCAGACCAACCTCGGGGCCGACCAAGGTTCCAAAAGAAAGGTCGCAACCGGCTATCTTGAACACGCCCCAGAGCGGGACCAAAATCTGGAGAAACTGGTACACTTGACGGGCACTGGCTTCCGTGAAACGCTGCCCAAATGGGACTAGCACGCACTTGGCAAGCTGAAGCTCGAGAATGGCGACCCCTTCAGCAGCGACAAAGGGCGGGACCAGGAGGAGGGTGAGGAGGAGGACCCGGACGAGAAGAGGAGCAAACCTGAGTGTGAGCACCCAAGAAGCCACACCTGGCCATGTATTTGAAATCGGCAGGTTTTCTCGCCAGGCGGAATGACCCCCTGGCATGGCCTAATATTGTTCAAACATGGCAGAAAAAGACACCAAGGTGGTCCCAAGGTAGCTTCCAACATGCCTCGGAGAACCCACGTACCGCCATCAGGAGGCTCTAAGGGGGCACGGAGCCTTTCCACGACACCTCTCAAGCTTTTGAGCAGCCGAAGGGGCTTGAATGGTTATGACATGCTCACCTTTTCGCACTCGGAGGGGGTTCTGAGGGGCCTCAAGACTCGCTGGGCTTCTGAGACCTCAAGAGAGAGAGAGAGAGAAAGCAAGTTTGGCTTGTCTTGGGGCCGTCTGGGGGCGTCGGAGTGCCCTCTGGGGATTGTGTGTGGCCGTCGTGTGCCGTATGGTGCCTCTTCGGGGGCCCTCTTGGTCGTGGCGGCATCTTGGACGCATCGTAGCCCTTCGTGGGCTATCTTGAGCCGTTTTGGCGCCGTCTTGGGGATTAAACGAATCACTGGTACCACCGGGGGCCAATGGCCCAGATATTGCCCACTGGAGGCCCAAGAGGGACCAAGAGAAGCTCTAAGAGGGCCTCAGGGGCGCACAAGCGCGCCCCACGAGCGCCCCAAGAGGACACCATGAGGCGACGCTTCGGGCTCCGACGGAGGCGGGCAAATTGACATTGGCGCCGCCCTTCTTATCCATCGATATCCTCCAAATCTATGAGTTGTTTGTCTGACAGTGCACGTGGGATCGGCTACCATCTTCCCTATGATTGGTTTTTCTACGCCACTGTACACTACACTCCAAGTGCGTTTTCCCAGCCGCCCTGCTCGGAGAGTTGCCACTGTGCACCTCTTCTCTGCCTACGCGTCCCTACAGATGCTTGGCTTCGCGCGTGCGCGCAAGCGTCCTCCAAGAGTGTGCCAAGAGGGCATCCCGAATTGCCCCGAAAGGGCCCCAAGATTGCCCAAGTGAACCTCCCAAACGCCCCCATCTCGAAAGATAAAGTATCCCAGTGCGACCCTACCTAGGAGTTGGAGCCCCTAGGAAAGCAGCATTAGTAGTAACGGTAAAGCTAAGCTAAAGCTAAGCTAAAGCTAAGCTAAAGCTAAGCTAAAGCTAAGCTAAAGCTAAACTAAAGCTAAGCTACAGCTAAGCTACAGCTAAGCTACAGCTAAGCTACAGCTAAGCTACAGCTAAGCTACAGCTAAGCTACAGCTAAGCTACAGCTAAGCTAACGCTAAGCTAAAGCTAAGCTAAAGCTAAGCTAAAGCTAAGCTAAAGCTAAGCTAACTCTAAAGCTAAAGCTAACCTATGCTATGCTATGCTATGCTGAGCTGAGCTAAGCTAAACTAAGCTAGGCGAGGCTAAGCTAAGCTAAACTACGCTAGGCTAGGCTAAGCTAAGCTAAACTACGCTAGGCTACGTTAAGCTAGGCTAAGCTAAGACGAGATAAGCAACGCTAAGCTAAAGGAACGTCACTGGGGGAACCGCGGGGCGGATGCCGGGGGAACCGCCCGGGGCGAGGAACACTGCCCGGCCCTTTAAGCTTATAAAGTAAGAACCCTTCTAGGCAGAGCCCAGGTAGGGAACAAACATATGGATGGTTGGCTCCTGGGCCTGCTCTGGCTCATGCGTGGGCGGCCGAGCGTGTTTTCTGGCGCGCAGCTCCCGCGGCGTCCAAAAGGCGGGCCGCCGGCCGCGCTGCGCCGCTGGCGCCCGCTTTCCTCTCACGAAGTGCGCACGGCCGCGGCTTCGCCGGTCCTATCTGCCGAGCGGCCCCATGAGCAGGGCGTCGAACGGGTCGGCGCTCGGCGGCTGTTGGGCCGGCGGGGGCGGCGGCGGCGGCGCCCCTCCTGGCGAGATCGGCCGCGACGAACAGGTCGAAACCCAACGCTTCAAGCTCTCACAACTACTGCGTGTGCTACACAATCTCCTACTGAGCCCAGCCGTGCTGCACCTTGCCGCCACGACGAAGAAACAGCAGCCAAAGTTGCGAAGAGGGGGAAGGATGGGGAGACGAGAGGAAGGAGGCCTGGCAGGAGGGGCGAGGAAGGGAGAGGAAGGGAGCGGTGAGAGAGAGAGAGAGACAGAGAGGAATACCCAAACAGGTGGGGATGGGCAGAGTGGGATCACGAGGAGTCTCGGAGGCCAATCGAGGCGCGGCCTTGCCGTCGGGGAGCTGCGACAGCGCCCGCGGCGCCGGCGAGGGGATCTCCAGGCGGCCAGCCCACCCCAACCGCGGCGCCAGCAAGGGGGTCCCGAGGCGGCCAGCCCGTCCCAGCGCCTTAGACATCCAACGCTTTCTTGCAGTGGTCGTCTTGGTTCGCCCTCACAATTGTCGTCGTCGTCGCTTCCGCAATCGTTTCGACAACGATCGTCGACTTCGCCGATCCCACCACTGCTGTCCTTGCCTCCATCGCCATCGCATCATCATCATCATCATCATCATCATCATCATCATCATCATCATCATCATCATCATCATCATCATCATCATCAGCATCAGCATCATCATCATCATCATCATCATCATCATCATCATCATCATCATCATCATCATTACCATCATGCACCATACTGTTCATGATCAGAACTACTTCTTCCCCCCAAAAACAATGACCTCACCAAATTTGTTTCCGGTACCATCTCGTGTGCTTTTAGCGGGGGCAAGTCGGAGAAAGTGGTTCCAGCACTCTGCAACATGTGGAATCATGTGGAAAGAAACATTGTGGAAGCACCCGCTGGAAGCCCGTGTCAACATGTGGAGCACAGATCGGGCCAGCAACGCACCACGACCAGGGGCGACCGACACACCAGCTTGGCACGGGGCTGGTGGCGCACCAATACCCAACCAGGCCTAGTTCGAGGCCTAGCCAAGGGGTGCAATACATGGTCGACACACGCAAAAGGGGAATCTCGTACGCACCTCCTACAACGTTCACCGGTCGGGATACCGCGGGATCAAATTTTCCATGGGGCACTTGCTGGCAGTCGGATTGTTCATGTGGTAGGCCCACTGCAAGTACGCACCAAAACCGTACAGATACCTGAGCTTGTCGAGGGCTCAGTAGGCAAGGCAGAGCTGGCCAGAACCACTGACGCACCAGTCCGACCTGGTGCCACACTACTACGCCACCGATAAGAGATCACAACCGTGCTGCCCATCCCTTAACCACTGCCGCCATAACGGCGTAATGGAAGTGCACTCGAAATATCAAATGGCCGAGTGGACCAATCGCCCCATGGTCGGGTCACAGGTGTGCCTGGCGCACTTGACCGAGGGATCGATCCATTAGCCTTTGAAGGAACTCTCCACGGGCCAACTGGCTCGTTGTGCTTGACGTGGCTGGCCAGGACGGCCCAAGACAGGTCGACGACCCAGCCCAAGGGATCTAACCTCTGCAGACACTTCCAAAGGTCCCAAGGCGTCCCAAGGCGGTCCGACCCCTGAACAAGTCTGGGACATGGTGGTCAGAGGTTCCAGAAGGGGCTCCGTGCAATCAATAAATCTCACCCATCACCACCCAAGGTGGTGCAGGAATGTGTCCGAATGCTGGGACAGCACCGCTGGAAGACACCATACGGGCCCCGAGCAGCCATCCTACGCTCGCTTTCTCACCCCATGCCTGGCCGGGCGGCCGAGGCCGCCGAGGGGATGCGAGGGGAGGGGCGCATCATGTTCGTTCCTAGCCGAGCGAGGTCCGCAGGAGCCGAGCGCCGAGTGCGGCATTCGGAGGGGTACAGGGGTGAAGACTCATCGACACCATCGTCAACATCGCCGTCGCCACCGCCCTCTTTATCTTCATCGTCATCATCATTCGCCACCGTGCTGTACAGCAGTTCTAGCGTGTGTGCGTGAGTGAGTGAGTGAGTGAGTGAATGCGTGTGTGCGTGTGCGTGTGCGTGTGTGCGTGTGTGCGTGTGCGTGTGCGTGTGTGTGTGTGTGTGTGTGTGTGTGTGTGTCCGTTATGTCCTCGTTTTGAATCTTCGTTATGTCCTCGTTTTGAATCTGCAGCGCCGCGGGTCTCCTCCCCTTGGCATCCTCTTCCCTTTTCGCATTTCGGCACACCCTTGTTTCGTGGCCCCATAAGCAGCTCCACCGAAAACCCTCGAGGCTGCGTCCGCATGCGGCCCCGCCTGTTGGCAGAGCCCTCACACGTTTAGTGGTCCCTTAGGGAGCTCCACCGAAGGCCCCGGTGTCTGCGTCCGCATGCGGCTCCGCCCCATTTCGGCACACCCTTCGCACGCGGACTGGACTCACTGGGAAGCTCCACCGAAGGACCGAGTGCCTGTGTCCGCATGCGACCCCGTTCCATGTCAGCACATCCCTCACACGTTTCGTGGCCCCATAGGAGGGAGCTCCACCGAGATGCCCCAGTGCCTGGGTCCGCATGCAAACCCGCCCACGTTCGGCAAAGCCATCACACGTTTCGTGGCCCCATAGCGAGCTCCACTGAAGGCCCATATCGCTGTGTCCGCATGGCGTGGGGCGGTCCTGCTTATAGCCGCCATCTGTTTACAGAAGGGTTTGTTTTGCCAAGCTAAACTCAATCATCGATACCTGATTCCCCCGGAGTAATCCCACCAGCTCTCTGGGCTGAGTGGTTTAACGATCAGTTCCAGCGACTCTCTCATCACTCCCTTGAACTGGGCTTGGCGGGGCTGGCGGGAAAGCGAACACCTATATATATATATGTATATATATATATATATGTATATATAATCCGCCGACTCTGTCGGCGTGTGTGAGGGGCTTGTCCGTTCAAGTCGTCATCTCCGTCATTCGTTGGTCGTCGTCTCTGTCGCCCCCTTTCCCTGCCTCCCCCCTTTCCCTGGGCTCGTCGAAGCTCCCCCCTTTCTCAGGGACCTCCTCAGCGCGCCAGCCAAAGCGAAGTTGAGCAACGTCGTAGTTGAGTCGAAGGGAAGCCCCTTCCCTTCGATCCCTCCCCCGCTGGGCGGGGTCCCTGGGGGTGGGTGGTCAGACGCCCCCCTCGGGAGTCCGGGAGCCCAACAAAGCCTCAAGACGGGCCAGGAGTGCCCCAAGAGGCCCCAAAGACAGTCCAAGAGAACCCCGAATCGCCGAACGATCTGTCCAAGATGCCTTGACGGCCTCCAGACGGCCCAAGAGGCCTGGAACGCGCCCCAAGAGGCCTCTAGGAGCTTTCCCACGAGAGCCCCAAGAGGCAAAATTAATGGATTTCCCGTACGTGTTTGACAGATTTTGGCGTTCTTGCCTCTTTCGCTTCCCGACGCGCTAAGGCGGCCCAAGAGGCCCCCAAGATCGCCCCGAGACGGCCCAAGAGGCCCCCAAGAGGGTCCCCTCACGGCCGAAGAGGGCCCCAAGACGGCCCAAGGCGCCTTCAAGACGGCCCAAGAGGCCCCCAAGACGGCTGCAGGAGAGTGCCCAGACGGGGGACCCGAACGGACATTTCGAGCTCTCAGCCCCAAGAAGCCCCCAAGAGGCCCCGAAGAAACCTGAAGAGGACCCAAGAGGCTCCCAAGGGGCCCCCAAACTGCCCCAAGACAGACAACCCAGGAGAGCCACACATTGCCCAGGAGGCATCCAAGAGCGCCTCGAGACGGCGCAAGAGGAACCCTGGACGGCCCAAGACGGCGTCAAGAGAGACCCAGGCTGTCCTAAGAAAACCTCTGGCCTCCTCCTCCTCTTCCCCCTCCTCCTCCTCCTCCTCCTCCTCTTCTTCTTTTTCTTCTTCGTCTTCTTCTTCTTCTTATTCTTCTTCTTCTTCTTCCTCCTCCTCCTCCTCCTCCTCCTCTTTTTCCTCCTCCTCTCACCCCCCCCTCTGCTCCCCCTCCTCCTTGTCTCCTTTGCCTCCTTTTTCTCCTCTTGCTTCTCCTCCACATCCTTCTCCCCTCTCCTCTTCCCTCATCCACCTCCTCCGCCCTTCCTCCACCTCCCACTCATCGTCCTCCCCCTGCCCCCCCTCGTTTTCATATCCGTCGTTCTCAGGGTCGGGGTCACCGGCTGTAAGGCCTTTGCAACATCAGCTTGCTGGAGCCTGGACCACCATTCGCGCCCCTTCTTCGGGGCGATCCAGTGGCCACGGCCTCGAGACGTGGTGGCCTCGCGGCCGCGGCATCCTGTCTGCCAACGACTGTCTGCGAAGCTGGTGAACACTTTCAAGCAAGGGGCACACATGGCTCGAGCTGAGCCCACGGTGTAGGCCCCACATTTCAAGCATTGAGCTACCGAGAACCCTGCAACTACCCACCGGTCGGAAGAAGTAGGTAGAAACATGAAGTAGGAAGGCGGAAGAAGTAGATTGCATTCGGGGCCGCCCAAAAAAACAACAACAACAGCAATTACAAGAAGTAGATTACAAATTTCCGGGCCCTGTCTCAGCGGCGCGCAGTAGCGCTAGGTCGCTCGGTTCCTCGGATGGCCCCATTCCTTGGCTGGTTTCGGTTGTTCTGGCTTGTTTTCGTTTGTCCCGGCCCCTCGGCTGGCCAAATGCGTTGGGTGTGTTTGCTTTTGTTTGTTTGGGGTTTGGTTTGTTTTCGCTTGTCCGTCGGCTGCGCTGGTCGCACCAGGCTCGCCCGCCGCCCCGCGGGCGCTCGGCCCCTCGGCTGGCCCAATTCATTGGTTTTGTTTGTGCTGGTTTGTTTTCGCTTGTCCGTCGGCTGCGCTGGTCGCCCCAGGCTCGCCCGCCGCCCCGCGGGCGCTCGGCCCCTCGGCTGGCCAAATTCACTGGTTTTGTTTGTTTCTGCTTGTTTTTGCTTGTCCGTCGGCTGCACTGGTCGCCCCAGGTTCGTCCGCCGCCCCGCGGGCGCTCGGCCCATCGTTTCTTCCGAGTCAGGGTCGCCCAGGCTCGCCCGCCGCCCCGCCGGCGCTAGGCCCCTGGACTGGCTCCTTTCACCGTTTCGTTGTTTTTGTTTGTTTTCGCTTGTCCGTCGGCTGCACTGGTCGCCCCAGGTCCGCCCGCCGCCTTTCGGTCGCTCGGCCCCTCGGCTGGTTGAATTCACTGGTTTTGTGTGTGTTTTGTTTGTTTTCGCTTGTCCGTCGGCTGCGCTGGTCGCCCTGCGCACGCCCGCCGCCTTTCGGTCGCTCGGCCCCTCGGCTAGCCCCATTCCCTGGCTTTCTGTGTTTCTGTTTGCTTTCGCTTGTCTGTCGGATGCACTGGTCGCCTCAGGCCCTGCACGCAGGCCTTTCGGTCGCTTGCGCGCCTTCGGCTGGCACATTTCAATGTTGGTTTTGCAGACAGTGTTGTGCTTTAAATAGGTGCATTGTTGACCAATAAACGCTTACCTTTATGTGTTTTGTTTTTT